CCCCAGTGAATTGGGACTTCTGGTGGCAGAAACCAGTTCTCAGTACATTTTAACCCTCCCTCTCCCTCAGGTAGTGTAGTGGGTTACGAGTTGGGCTGTTAACCACAAGATCAGCGGTGTGGAGCCAACAGCCACTCTTTGGGAGAAAGATGAAGCTTTCTGCTCCAGTGAAGAGTTCAGAAACCCACAGGGGTCACTCGACAGTGCCCTGTAGGGTCACGCTGAATTGGAATTGACTAGATGGCAGAGAGTGAGGAATGTCTCCCTCAGGTGGCTCCAAAGTGCAGAAAAATGTAAGAACCAGTATTTGACAGCATTTTAATTTTGTAAAACATTTAAAAAAAGTAATTGATGTGGTTGTAAGGACAGTTCTAGTTAAGCATTTTCTTCTAGGAGCTGGGTCAGGGAAGTGGGTGCTCTGGACATTAAAGTGGGGTTTGGAACACCCATGAACTCGTGTGAACCGTAGCAGCCTTGGTCCACAAAAGCCTCTCAGCTGCTATTTTAAGGAAGTGAGAGAGAACTGAACTGAAGGGTGTCGTGTTGTAACACAACTATTATGGGCCCCGGCCTTCCTCTGCTGCTGGCCAGGTTCCTGCAGTGGCCACGTGTCTCCTATTTGCCAGGATGGTTTAATTTCTGTTCAGTGTAAGTTTTCTGTGCACACTGGTACTTGCAGACCACAGGGTGTATTTGGTTGGGAAAGGGATGTGTCCTTTGGAGTCCACCAACACTGAGAGAGAGGGAGGGAGAGAGAGAGAGAGAAGCTGAGGCCAGGTCTGTGGTGACTCCTGCCAGTGCTGGAGATTATGCCAGAGTCCCTGGGGCTTTGACACCTGAGACCCACAAGGACTTTAATCAGCTACCCAAGCCAGACAACAATATAACAGTACAACCAAAGGGGATGCAGCCCCCAGATAAGAAAAGGTGTTGGGCCAGTACTCCAGGGCCCAGTTCTTCCTGATTTTGAGCATTAATTCCTGCGGTCAGACTTCGCCAACACTTTTCGTGGGTTCACATGAAAACCTTCCTTAGGTGGCAGGGATCGGGAAGGACTTGTCACAGGGTGGATCCGGTTGGCACCGACCACTAGAGGGAACCTCTACCCCACGGCGCGGAGTTCCAGCGCAGCCCGTGTGCAGAAGGACCCCAGTCTACCAACCAGGGAGGCTCCGGAAGAAAGGAACGAGGCTGCCCCAGGCCAACCTCACGTTTTACTCTCTTCCCAGGGGCCTGGGGAAGTCCGCAAACCCGGCGAGTTGCTTATCTGGGAGGGCCTCCATCCAGTCCGCGTTCTCTTTGGATTCTTTCTCTAGGCAATTCTGGTCTCAAGTTCCCTTTTTGGTTCCTCACACCCACCCCCTGCGGCCTGGGAGCGGAGCTGAAGAAGCCCAGACCCTCGGAAAGGACAACTGCTCAAGAGCCTCCCCGCGGCCACAAGGGTGCGGAAGCAAGCCCTAAGCGAGGGGGCGGAGCTCCGGCCGGGGGCGTGGTCTGTAGGGGCGGGGCTGGAGGCCCGGCGTAGAAGAGGGGCCCAAGGGGGCGGGGAAGGCTTGAGGGGGCAGGGCTGACGAAGCAGGTCCCGGAGGCGGGAACCCTGGACGGCGCGTCGCCGCTGGGGGTGTCCGGGTCTGGGGCGGGGGCGGCGGGGAGCATGGCAGAGGGCGGTCCCCGGAGAAGGTCCCAGGGGTGGGGGAGCTGACGCTCCGGGACGAGCCTCCTGCGGGTCCCCGCCCCGGTCACGTGGGCTGCGGACCCGGCCGCTGCCGCTGCCGCTCGGTCCGCTGGTTGGTCAGTCAGTTGGTCTGTGGGTCGGTGGCCCGAAGCTCAGGGCTCAGCTCTCATGTTCGGAGGTGGGAGGGACGCGGGAGCGGCCCTCAAACTTGAGTCGCCGGGAGAGGAGCCGCGGCCCCGGACTCAGGTCAGTGGGCACCCCTCACGCCCCCGGCCTGCCGCGCCGCCCCGACTGTCAGCCCCCGCCAGGCACTGCCCGACGACCGAGGTGCCCCTGCGCCCAGGAACCGCCCGGCCTGGGGGCTGCGTCAGTTGGACCTCAGAGTGTGCTCCAGGCAGGATATCGGGACCCTTCACCTCCCCCTCCTCTGACAAGGACACTGGGAGGAGGGGGGGAGGGGCTGACGCCTGGGGAGCTCCACCCCCCTACAGGTGCCTGCGTGGCCCTGGGGATGGGGAGGGCGGCAGGTCATCTCAGGAGTTCTTGGCCGGCTTGTCAAGGTGGTCTGGAGGAGCAAAGGACCTGACTTGCCCAGGCCGACCTCGGCTGAGACCCATTCTAAACTAGTGTAATAGAATGACCAAAACACAACACAAGTCTCCAAAACTCAGGACGCGGAGCTCCGATAGGCTAAAAAAGATGGGCATGGTCCGATTTGAGGACCAGCATCCCCTCCAAGGCCCCCCGTTAATGAGCTTCTGACCTGCGGCTTTTCCTTAAACGAAAATAAGGAGATTATATATTTAAAGAGCAGAAAACTTCCAGGGTGGGTTGAAACAGGCATGCCAGCAATGTTTAATCCTCTTAATCTCCAGAGTGTTGTATTTTTACTTTGAAAGCAGCTGGGTATTTGGTTTAGGTCTCTCTCCCTTCCCATCTCTTTATTTCCTATCTTTGTCATGATCTTTTCTTCCGCTCCCATACCTAAATTGAGTATACGCAGTTTTCTTCAGGGTTTCCACATTTTATGCTACGTTTTTTTTCTTAATCATTTTATTAGGGGCTTATACAACTCTTACCACAATCCATACATTATGCTACGTTTTGTGAAGTTGCTTGACCAATCACAGAAAAGTAGTTGACCGTAGACATACTTCATCTTTGGCATGCCCAGTCTTTGATGATTATTGGTAAATTGAAAACACATAATGTTCTGTGATTTAGAAATCATTTCTCTTGGGAGGAGCTCGTGTTTGTTCTGCTTAAATTCATGCTTAAATACCTCTGAAGTGGGAGGTTGAAGTAGATGGGTGAGGTTTTCACTTATTGCCTTCATTTATGCTTTCATGGAAAACATGTGTTATTGTTTTGAATTCTGACGATGTGCCAGTTACTAACTTATTGCCACTGGAGAGACAAGCTGAGTCCCAGGGTGGTCTCTTTTTGCCTGGGGTAGCAAAGGTAGGTGCACTGTGATCTTAAGACCAAGTGGAATGAGGTAAATGACAAGAAGGTAGGAATAGTGTTATGGGGAATTCCTGGGATTTATAACTGCAGGGATAATTTCAAAGAGAAGGAGGGAATGTTTGTGTTGGATTTCCCAGGATTTCTCCTCCATGTGTTGAGGCAGAGATATGACCTGGACTGAGAAGTTTGTAGTCAGGAAAGGCCGCTAGATGGGGTGACATGGTGAGTGGCCCAGCTTGGGCCCTGCAGTAGGTAACCAAACTGGTGACACCTTGGTCCCATTGGGCCCTGAAAGTCTGACTGTGTCTAAAGGCATGGGAGAAGGGCTGATTTGGATTCTGTGAGCTCAAATTTAGGAACCTGGGCTCTATGCTCCTTCCACCTCCCAGCCTACTACAGTAAAACTTATGAGATGGGAGTGGGGAGGGAGGGGAAAAAATGAGGGCCTGATGCCGGGGGCTTAAGTGGAGAGCAAATGTTTTGAGAACGAGAGGGCGATGAATGTACAAATGTGCTTTACACAATTGATGTAGGTATGGATTGTAATAAGAGTCATATGAGCCCTAATAAAACGATTAAAAAACAAAACTTGTGAGATATGCGATTGCCTTGTTTTTCTGAGTCTTTCCAGTTGTCTGCCTTTGACAGGTTGCCACTTTACCATTTTTCTGTCATTTTCTATTCATGGAAAATATTTGAGATTTCCTTTTCTGACAGGTTTCCACTTCACACAGGTTTTATTCTGTGTAGCAAAATAGTCAAAATTTGTGGAATGCCTGGTCAGACAACACTTCAGGGCAATGCATCTCAAACTTTAACGTAAGAATCACCTCAGCGTCTTATTAAATAGCAGATTCCAACTCTGTAGGCCCTGGTTGGGAACTGAGAGTCTACATTTCTTTTTAAGAAAATATTTTACTGTGTGTTGGGTGACAGTTGACACAGCAAATTTGGCTCTCATTTAACAAGTTCAGTACATATTGTTGAAGCCCTGGCTATGGTAGTGTGTTCCAAGTTACGTTGTTAACTGCAAACTGCTAACTCAAAACCACCAGCTGTAATGAGGTAGTCTGCTTCCATTTACAGCCTCAGACACGCAAGAGAGCACTTCTACTCTGTTCCCATAGGATCACTGTGAGTCAGAATCAACTTGATGACAGTACGGTTTGGGTATACATATTGTTAAGTGACATTGATTACGTTTTCCATAATATATCAGCATTCTCGTTTTTTCCATTCTGGTTGTTCTCTTTCTATTAATCTGGCTTCCCTGCCCTGTTCCCCTCCCCTCTGCCCCTTACCTTTTCATTTTTGGCATAGGGAAACAAAGGCATGTTTACTGGCTTATTTCATTTAGATAATTATTTAGAAGAGCGTAATACTCACAGGTGATGATAGATCTCTCATCTTTTATTTAATCATTTTATTGGGGGCTCCTACAACTCTTATCACAATCCATACATACATCCATTGTGGGTAAGATCTCTTTTTATGGATCAATTTGTCATTTGGCTGAAAGGTGACCTCTGGGAGTGGGTTGAGTTTAAATTTTTTAAAAATCATTTTATTAGGAGCTCATACAGTTCTTATCACAATATATACACGCATCCATGTGTCAAGCACATTTGTTGCCATTATCATTTTCAAAACATTTTCTTTCTACTTGGTATCAGCTCTCCCCACCCTACCCTTCCTCCTCCACCCTTCTTCCCTCATGAACCCTTGATCATTTAGAAATTGTTATTTTCTCAAGTCTTACACTGATCTATGTTTCCCATAATCCACTTTTCTGTTGTCCATCTCCCATGACTTTCAAATTTAAAGGGTCTCCTGGAGCATTAATCTTGGTGGTTCTTATAGTCTCTCCCTGTCCAGTAAGTCTGGCCTTTCTAAAGAATGAATTTACATTTTGCTCTACATTTTTCTCCCATTCTACCTTGAACCATCCAGAGTTCACTTTAACCAGTGAATCCCTGCTCAGATGATCAGTAGTGGTAAGTACGCACCATCTACTTCTTCTGGTCAGCAATTGGTGAGACTGTTTGTGTAGATCAGTGTTTCCCAAAATGGGCGATAACCCTGTGGCACACTGGAAGGACTCAGGGCTGTAGAAGCAGATACCTATATTTCATACTGGGCTATGGGATCTAGTACAAAGACTTTTAATTTCCAGAGGGGTGCTAAATAATTTTTTCTCTTCTGAAAAAGGGCAGAAGGCCAAAAATGTTTGAGAACCTTTGGTGCAGACTATTACTTCTGTAGACTAGTGTCTCCTTCAAATCTTTACGTTTGTTTTCCTACTTTCTCTTTTATTCTAGACAAGTAGAAACCAATAGCGGTGTCTCAGATGGCAGCCTGCAACTTTAAAGACCCAAGATGCTACTTACCAAATGAGAAAGAATATTGTCTTTATGAACTTTTTTGTGCCCAGTGAGGTCTGAAGTGCTCAAACCCAGTAAACCAATTCTGTGAAGTGTTTGTTTGTATAGGAAATATAGCTGTACCCATGTGTTTTATTCTATTTTGAATACATAGGCCGTACACATAAACATATACATATATTCATGCAGATTTACATGCACATCTGAATATATATGCTTTCATATATATGTACATATGTAACACAAAATTTTAGTTGTTACAGTTATTGCAAAATTGTATTTCCCCAATGATTTTTTCCAACAGTTTTAGTAGCACATAATTTACATATGATACAATTTAATAGTTGAATTGTTCAGTCATATCAAGGAGAATTGTACAATTATTACCACATCAATTTTAGAGCATTCCCCACACCGCCATGGTTAAATCACCTTTAAAATGAGTTCTGCAATCACAACCCATTCTAGTGCTCTCTCCCCACTCCTGCCTTCATTATTTACTCCCCAAACCCCCTGCCCCTCCCCATCACTCACCCCCCACCCCTGTATTCCCTATATCTCCTTGTGTCTGTTATTATCACTATGCATCCACTTCTCCTGTGCTTCACAGCTGGGAGACCCAACAGAAAACAGTAGCAAAATCACACTAAGGTGGTAAGAATAAAGCCATAATAGCATATATACAAAAATACAAATAACATGTAAGAAGGAAAAGATCCCCATGCCAGTGATTTTTTCCCCGATAGCTTTATTGACATATAATTCACATGTCATACGACTCAGTAGTTCAATCACATCAGGAAGAGTTGTACAGTCATCACCACAATCAGTTTTAGAACATTTTCTTCATTCTTGTACCTATCATTATTAACTCCCCATCCCCTTGAACAGCTCCCAAAGAACCATTAATCCAATTACTGTCTGTATAGATTTAACTATCCTGGATTTAATATTACAGAAAAACATTAAAAACAGAAAAACATTAAAAACATTAAAAAAACAAGCAAAACTAACAAGAATAACAAACAAAGTAAAACAGATAAAAACTGCAATTGAAAAAGCAGAAAATATTAAACACTAGAACAAATTTAAATAGGTCATGAGGGAGATCAAATGATAGGGTGCTAAATTTTAACCTAACTACATCTGCCACAATCTACTTCCCAATGTAGTCTGCATGTTAGCAAAGCTATTCACATTCCTGGTCTATGGTCAGAGGGTTTTCCCAGGTGTTCAATCCATATGTATTTCCCCTTCACTTTTTTAGTTTAACTGAAACAGCTTTAAAATGGGTCAGAGGGAGATCAAATGGTACAATATTACATTTAGACCTAGCTATATCAGCTGTGATCAGCTTTATAATGCTCTTTGCCTGATAACAGGGGTATTCACATCCCT